GTATTTTTATGATAAGATACTTGTACTTTTACTCAAGTATCACTTTGAGGTACTTTATACAACACTGGTAATTTGGTAAAGTTTTCATAATTTGATGTTCAGGAGGATTAATTTAAAAGTAGATAATTTATGAAGATGTTAGGTGAAGTGGTCGTTAATATATGTTTGTTTTTCTTTGTATTATTATGTTGGTTCGTTAATAATATAAATAGTTAATATAATAAATAGTTAATAAAATAAAATCTGCAGCAGTGCTCCTGCTGACCTGTAGGGGCAGCAGAGAGCTGCTCGTGTCTCCTGCTGACCTGTAGGGGCAGCAGAGAGCTGCTCGTGTCTCCTGCTGACCTGTAGGGGCAGCAGAGAGCTGCTCGTGTCTGTTGTGGTCAAAAGAAGAAGAAAAAGCAGGAAGTTTCGCGGCGGGACGTGTTTTTCACATTTATAAATCCATTATTTACCGGGTTGTTTTTAATAAAACCTGTTGTTTTGTCGGAGCGGACAGTTCTCTGCTGTTTCCTCCAGCAGACATGCAGAGTCCCGGAGCAGGAGCAGCGCCTCGGGCCCGGGCTCTGTTCGGAGGCTCGCTGTCCGCGGTGGTCCCGCTCAACGCCACGGACATCAGCGAGCTGAGGGAGGTCCCGGACAACCAGGAGGTGTTCGCCCACCCCCACACCGACCAGAGCCTGATCGTGGAGCTGCTGGAGTACCAGGCTCAGGTGGCCGACCAGGACGCAGCCAGGTTCCACTTCCTGGACATCGCGGGCAGCAACGAGGCTCTGGAGCCCGGAGCCCTCCAGGTGTCCGGTGTGGCGGGCCTGGCCCGGGCCGACCTGTCCCTGWCGGAGTGCAGCTCCGCCTGGACCCTGACCGGAACCCAGCTGGTGTCCAAGTTCAACGAGGAGGCCAGGAACACCGTGAACATGTCTCTGGGTCTGTTCCGCCTMCCGCAGTTCTCCACGGACCTGCTGGTGACCTTCAACGACCCGCAGAGCGTCACCAGCCCGGGCAGCAGCAGCTGCGCCTCGGCCGTGGAGCCGGGCACAGAGCCCTGGACCCTGCAGGACTTCCAGACCCTGCTGCACACCCTGAGTCTGCACGACCCTGGCCTGTTCGGGTAGGACCTGCACGGTCTGGGACCTGGCCTGAGTGGGCTGAGCAGTGACAGGAATGTATAGACCAGGGGTCTGCAACCTGCGGCTCTGGGGCCACATGTGGCCCTTTGGTCCCTCTGCAGTGGTTCTTTGGTCCCTCTGCAGTGGCCCTTTGGTCCCTCTGCAGTGGTTCTTTGGTCCCTCTGCAGTGGTTCTTTGGTCCCTCTGCAGTGGTTCTTTGGTCCCTCTGCAGTGGCCCTTTGGTCCCTCTGCAGTGGTTCTTTGGTCCCTCTGCAGTGGCCCTTTGGTCCCTCTGCAGTGGCCCTTTGGTCCCTCTGCAGTGGTTCTTTGAAAATATGACCCAAGCATAACAATAATTTTTGTGTGGTTTGTGTACACACAACAGAAACTAAGTTGTGTGTAAATATGTGATT